CAATGAATATTTGCTGCTTAGTGGCTAGTTGGTTATATGTTAATTTACAAGTAATTCTTAATGGCACACAAATGTGGTAGCTTTTTTGTGTCTCTTGACCAGGTAGATATAAAATTTAGAATTTGAAGTCCCAGTTAAATTCTCACTTTTAGGAAGTCAGATTAGTTTTCTAATATTCCAGCCAATTTTCATATCTTTTTCCCTATTACAGAAATCAAAACCTAAATTAGCCCAAATGTTATCTGTTCACAAAACACCTGACTGAAATTTTCTTCATTTCATATCCAAGTGGGGTGGCTCCTTCCTTTGTTAATTTTTAGCTGAAGTAGGTTGGATACAATATAGATTTTTTTTTTCATTTTGAGGAATAAAATAATAGTGCTATAATAATCTGTGCTTTCTGTTCACAAACTAAATAAAGTCAGCAGTAATCTGCTGCTTACCTTCCACTATCAGGAGTAAAAGATTGGATGGGTAGAGATTCTCAATCCTTTCTGAACCTTGTCCTTGGACTAAAGTATTGTGCATCTTCTCTTACACTGGGTGAAAAAGTAAATACATTGTCTGACTCATCTAGGTAACAAAAAAGCCTCCAAATAGTACAAACAATTCCCCTGCTTTCATCTTGCATTCTTTTAACTATTTTAAATTGAGTACAATGGAAAAGGACTTAAAAGCATTTGGTGTGAATAACTTAATGCAGATCTGAAAAACAACTGCCGGGTAAAACTCTATTGACTCTGAATGCAGTCCATATACAAACTCCTGAACTCAAGCTGAATTCTCATGCGAGTATTAAATTGCAGTGCAGCCTTGGATTGACCCTTTAGGAAGGAAACAATACATAGAATAGTGTGCTTGATACCAAGAAGGCTCTATATTCAAGCATGCAAGCATTTGAACTTCATGAAGAAAAAGAAAGCAGAAAAGATAAAGGCAGTTTAAAAGGTGAAGAGGGCATCTAGAAGTACAGAAGAAAATGCACCACATGAAGACGTCTAATTTATGTAGGCATGTTATTCCTCACCTTGAAAGTTGTCAGCGAATTACAAAAAAAAAAGCTGATGTGAAGTATTTATTTGATAGAAGACCATCTTCACCCTCAGTTATCCTGATTAGAGATGTTAGATACCTTTAGGGTTCGACACTTGCCTTTTTATAATCAGCATTTGAAAGATTAGAGGACTGTTCTGTTCTTTCCATCTTTAACTGCAAACAAAACCAAAATACTTATCTAAATTTATCCAAAACTCATCCTATTTATCAAAAATACATCTGTATAAAACATTCCCCTACAAGTAGCTAAGTAAATTTTTTTACTCTCTCCCTTCTAAACCATTTGTTTAGTTTCATTTAACTATGCTTACTTTCTTGAGGGGGTACAATGGCTCTCAAAATGTTTTCCCAAGACTACAGTTTAATGATACAAAGCACTTGGCAGCAATACTCCAGCTATAATTGTTCTTGACTACTCAATCCCCAGTAGTGGTATATAATACCTCTTAGTTTGAGGATTTGATCCAGTTTTAAAAGCCTGCAAAAATGCAGGGGGTGGTGGAGAGGCAAAAACAAATGGCCAGATGTGGGAGAGTGGGAAAGAGTGGGACTTACTGAAACCGATTTCTTTACTTAGGAAAAAATCTGTGCAACCATGCATCTGTAACAATATGAAAAGAACTTCATTCTTAGGGCATTTAGGAACATCCTAAAGTATGTTTTTTGAATACTGAATGTCAGATCTAATTCACACAGGAAAAAACTATCAGTTGTGGGAATGGGCATTCAAGTGTATCATTCAACATTTACTGCACAGAAGTATTAGTCTCTCTTGGTGTGACACTTTATTTCTCTGTTGGTGGAGGTTAGCATTATTTTAGGCTGTGATAGAATTTTAACTGGTTTTGGAGATGTCTAGTGTCACCACTGCTTGTGTTTTGACTGATGTACTAAAGCAGTGGTTCTCTCTGTTAACAAGATTGGAGAGTACAGTTCAGCATAGCAACATCTCCTTGCTGTGTATTGTGGGATTCAGCTCATGCTGTTTCTGTGGAGTCTTGAAAAAAAACCAAAACAAATCAAAGCTCTTACATCTCTTACATGCTTCATTCACAGTGAAGGTTTTCTTTGTGTCCTTCACAGTCTATTACCACTTACATATTCTGTAGGGTCAATTTTTCATGTATTTTGAACAGGTATTGTAATTAATTGGACAACAGAGTTAGAAGGAACACAGACTGAGTATTAAACTGTCCAAGACAGACAGGAAGAGAAAGATGTTTCCTTTTATAAAGACTAAATTCAGCAATTTGAATTTTTGGCTGGAGGATGATTGCAAAATTCCCATTACTGTTCTGGCTAATCTGCATAACATAAACAGCTCTTAAGAACATTAGCTGAGCTAATTTTTTTTCTTCTCATGGAAAACTTACCCAGTGCTAACCTCTGGAACAACTTCTGGTACTGAAAGTTCACCAAAAAAAAGCTGAAACTTTCAAAGGCATAACACCTGGAACAAAACTGTAGGAGCAAGAAGCAGGAGGAAAGACATTTTCATGGTGTAAGACATGGTAAGAAAGAACAGTCTAGGAGAAAATTCTGGTCCAGTCTCATCCACAGAAAACATGAGCCTTTGTCACGTATGGATACTGTACCGTGTCAATAGGTGTGTATTCCTTCTGGAATTCCTTCTCATCAAGAGAAAAGGCCAGCAGAAGGGCAAAAAATTAGAGTACAAAGGTGCACTTAGTGCTTTGAGTTTATACATTAATGGCTGGATGGTGGAAGTTCATTTTGTGGCTACTTCAAGGAACAGAAGCGTGGTTTGAGCCGTCTGCAATGCAGGCAGAATTCTGGTTTTTTATTCTGGTTCTTTTTCTTTGTCACCTAAGTGAGATGCAGTGTTCTGAATACTTTCAAGAGGATTTCATGCTGCCTGAGAGGAAGATCCCATTATGTTTAAAAGTACCTTTTTTTTCTGGTAAACCAAGTGTATGTGAGTTGAGCTTGACTGTAATCGGGCCTTAATCAGGCTTTTTATACTAATTTGGTACTAATGCATTCCACATAGAAGTTTGAGAAGAGAGGTTTAATGGGTGGGCAGGCATCAAGACATAATTTCTGGTTTTCTGTTACTTTCAAGTAGTTTCAGGAACTATAAAAATACTTCTGTTGGAAGCCAGTATTTTACTGCTGCTGTAGCTGAGGTATGAAGTTGTGCAGCAAGAGCAGTTTCTACTAAAATATTCTAATGAGAAGGGCAAAACACACAAAAGACTGGACAATTCTAAATCTTCTAGAATAAATTTAAAAAGATAAACAAAAGATGCGTTTGGAAAGGACTAAGATCTATGATCTGCAATCTTGAAGAAAAAACTCCAATCTAAGCAAAAAGCTTGGAAGGTTTTTTAGCCTTTGCTGTCTGAGAACATAAAAGCATGAGGATTCAGGTGCAAAAAGAATTACATCCAAGAATTGGAAAGAGAAGCAGTAGATTACCAGGGGTAAAAGAAAGTGTATCTTAAAAGTATAAAGGAAAGTTACTAGTAAAACTTCCTCTAGTCCAAGTGGAATTTAGAATTCAATATAAAGTAACATTTCCTGTAAAAGTACTAATGGGAAACATAATATGCAGCTTTTCTTGGCTGACAGAGCAGAAAAGAAACTTAGAGGACTTATTCCTGTTTTTTTCTTAAAGGCTAATCTGGGAGAAGAAAGGGGTAAATGTTGAATATATTGACTGAGATATCTTGTAACCTGTGAACACAGCTCAATGTACAGAACAATATGCCTTTTTTCACTTATCTTGCACAAAAACTTTAATATTTGCTCTCTTATTTCCTTAATAAGGGTGAGTGTTACAGCCTTAAAAGTTTCTGAATGAAATCATGTATTGGGTCTCTGTATCCTGTGGTCATCAGCTATGAGCCACTACTCATGTAGGGCTCTGACTACATTGTCCTGATGCAATTGGATTATAGCACCAGGTGGGAGGATCAGTTTCCACTGGAGAAAGAATGAACTACTCTAATGCACCAGGACAGTGGAGGGCTGAGCACAACAAATAAGTAGCTGTCCTTTGAAGCTTTTTTCTTCCACTGATTAAAGTCCCTGCTTAAGTGCTTATGCTATAGTTATAATGAAAGCTACTAGCTTTAAACAATTTTCTAATTTCTCCCTTCCTCACCCTGCCACAAAGACACTCACTTTTCAATACAATATTTTAGAAAAGAAAATTTTAACAATAAGGTGTAATTATGGAGCTATGTTATGCTGTTTAGAAAATCACTAAAACATATTCTGGATTAAAAAAATACTGGTAAACATGCTGCTTAATTATTGAATAGAAATTAGAGAAGTCCTGCTGGTTTTCTGTCTTCTTGAAGGATTCTCAATGATCTCTGAGGGATTATGCCTCCCTCTGAAATAATTACCACCAAATTTGAAGTAAATTCAATCTGATCAAGACATCATTATTTGCAAGGAGTAAATTAAAGTCCAGATCTGTTGCAAGGGGAAAACTCAAATTCAATCCTCTGGAGTACTTCATTAATTGTCTAATGAAAAAACATCTAAGTCTGGGATTTTTTTCACTGCAGAGCTGCATGTCAATAATGCAACTATGCATGGACTGGAGTACCACTTGGAGCCTTCTGCAATTAAAGGCATAGACTCATCTACCATACTAAATGTTACTTACCATATTTCATTACATATTGCAGATATGACCATACTGCAGTATTCCCAGGAACACCCAGAAAGAAAAATATGCCTACAAAGCATACTGCCCCCCCTCTTTCTGCCAACAGAGCAGGAAAGGTAATACTGCAGCAACACACACTGAGGTTTTACTATTGTAATTATAACAGGGCCTACTTGCAACAAACTTCCACTAATGACTGACAAATAGAGGCAAGCATTAGATTCATGTGTGCCAAAACATGAGGGGAAAAAACTGAACATCAGCTGGTGCTGCTTTACCCTTTACACAGAGAGGGGAATAATAATTTACAGCATGTTTATTACTCCACACAGGCACCACTAATCCAAACATGGCAATGCACAGGGGAGTACACTGTTTGAACCTTGAAGAGTGATAACAGTTAAAGAAGGAAAGCAAATTACAAGGTCACATCCTACTCTGATAGATCTTCTGCATACTGTTGATTTGATATTCCTTATTCCCAGCTTTCAGCTGAACCATGATGTTTGAATACTTAACCTGCTGCTTTGCTTCATTCAGTGATCACTGCAGTAAACCATGAGCATCAGACACCAGAACTCTGCAATGACAGGAGCCAAGATTATGCTTATCTGTTAGACTGAATAAAAACAACTGCTGCATAGCTTCAACAAACAACTAACACCTTAAATTCATTATGTCCTTTCTTGCAACCTTTACAGTAAGACAAATATGTACTCAAAAAAACTGAACCCAGTGTATAGCAGTTAATTTTTAGTATTTATACCTTTATATAGTTAATATTTCTATAAATTCAGATATTTTTACTATGGAGTTTTATAGAAGTGTACCTGCTTGAAACCACTAAGCAGTTTTTAAAAACACCATATGACTGAGTGCTTTATAATGCTGTTTTTAACAGAGTATATCATAATAGGAAACTTCCTACATGGAAGTAATTTTGCCCTTAAGTAAAAATCTACAAAACTTCAGGCAGCTCTGTCTCTTACATACCTGTAACATTTCTAGCCTAGCTACATTGTTTTGGTGACAGCAATACAACAGCCTCTTCAAAGCATGCATAATTTGTGGATTTATTATGCAATTATAAAGTGACAAGATTCATTATATTTAAGCTTGTATTTTAAAGCAATCTATTTCATCAGTCAGTTTTCAGTCCATGTAACCACTTCTATTGAAGTCTGTTGCATTACTAATCAAGACTTCCAGTAGCAATGCATATACTGATAACTTTAGATTTTCACTGAATGTGCAATATTGCATACACAAATCTGACACTTTATTTATGCATTTTACAACACAGAATCAACAGTTTATTAAAGGCTGCATACACTATCCACAGTGCATAAAGGGGTATCAGCCATACCATTTTGAGTTTTAGCATAACAAAATATTTATTCCACAGTGGGTTTCTGAATATGAAAATCCTATTTGCTTTTAAAAACATTTCCTGCAAAAAGCCACACAACCCAGGTCCTGAAAAACATTCATGCCTATAAATTATATTCATTACTGGGAGAACTTTAATACAATAGGCCAGCAATGATTTTCAATGCCTCTTAAAACTTGTACCAAAAATATACATTTTCCATAAAATCAAAAAATAAAATATCTGAAAAAGGTTCTGTGATAAATCTAGAAAAAGGGCAGGGATCCAGTATTAAAAGTTAAATTCTGCTTTCACATACACAATTCAAATTGATACCAATGCATAGTATTTGTACAGCTGACAGAAGAGTATCACTCCATCTGCAAGATTAAAATGCAACAGCTATGCAAAGTACTTTATTTCACAAGAAGTATGCAAACTGTTTATTTCACAAGTTTCACTTTGTCCTTTAGAACTCTAAATTTAGGATTGTTATTCACTTTCTTATTGAATATGGCCAAGATGTCCTCTTCTGTTTTGTGACGTTCACCAGCTACTGCATAATACTGAGCTATCACCTGCACAAGGACAGAGAAAAGGTTTTTAGTCTGTGAAGATAATTCCATTGTAAGCAATAATACATTTACATTACTGCATGAAAAGTGCCATGGAAGCTATTGTGCTATTATTCCTTTCCAGAACTAGCACTGAATTTCTTGTGTAATTCAGTAAGCAATAAAAAACATGTCCTTCAGCTGACATTCTGTTAATTAATATCCCTCTAAAAATGTTGAACTTTTTGTTTATGCAATCCAGAATTTTCTGAGCTTCAGCATTACACAAATAAATTCACACAACCATAGGAGACTAAAAAAACCCATGTTGTACAGTACCTTTTTTCTCAGTTTCTTAATTGAAATTTCATTGTCTGGAGCCTGTTTCAGAACTGCTTTGATGGTTCCCTTCCAGTTGAATTTACCTAGGAAATAAATAGGTGGACAACACTGTTAGTGAAAGGAGGTATTCTGGGTCTTCTTCTCTACTAGTAACCAGCCATCAATCTCCTAATTTTGGAATCAGTTTGGCTACCACAACAGTTGTTAACTGACTGAACCTACAACAGGACAGTGTCTTAAGCATAAAAGTCATCAGCTGTTCCTGAATATAAAATGGAATACAAATGAAGAATCAACACAGTACTTGAACAACAGGGGTCACAATTGTTTTTACTTAACTCGTGCACTTCAGCCATTAAGCAGAAACTCTTAAATAACACAGGGATAGTTAAGATCCTGTCTCTTCACACTTAAATCACAAGCAGTCAAATTTGACCATACCACCTTCAGAGGTCATTAATTGGTAGTTTCCAAATAAACGATCTGTATGTTCAAACACAGTCAGAGCATGATAGGTGACAGGCAGAAGTAGGTTTATCTAAGCATAAACTAAGGTCCAACGTATCTGAAGTCCAATTTATGATTCACTGAGCAAAAACGGGGATATGAGATACCAAGAGGTCTAAGAGTTGTTACCCTTTTTGTTGTGCTGTCTAATGGGCATGGCAGCAGGGAAAGAGACCCACTGTGGTGAAACCTTAGTGTCCACTGGAATCAAGCACAGCCAAAGGCTGCCAGCACAGCACAAACAACAAATTAGAGAAGTAATTCATTATCAGGTGTTAAGAATAGCAAAGGCTACTTACTCTGGAACAGATGTGCATGCTGAATATACACACATTCATGTATGCTGAGGCACAATTTATATCATGGCTTGCTACAGAAGCTGTGTTTATAGCATTGTGTCTTTTCCAGAGTAGTTTTGTAACAATCTAAATTGTTCCTTTAAAAATACCTTTATCTGTTCCCACATTTTCTTCATTGTCATTGACGTCTTCTGTTTCCATGTCTTCTGAAATGCTTTCAGTTTTCATTCTCTTTGTTTTGGTATGAGGTTCCTCTAGAGATGGAATTGGACAAAACATACACAAGAAAGATTTAAAATGAGAAATTCTGACATGACTTAAGTTTTTGTTCTTTTAACATGAGTTTATATTTGCAAAGTGGTTTAGGTTTTATAAAATAAATGTACAGTCATTGTTAAAAATAATCTAATTTGTATATCTTATGCACTACTTCAAAATTCTACTTAGGTAGTTTATTGAGCTGTGGAATTGAGAAAAAGCCTCTTCAAAACAAACATGAATATAAATTGTATGATGGATACCTTCTACATGTTTATGTTTGCGTTTCTTTACATTTGTTTCCTCTTCTGTTTCACTGTGATTGCCATTTCCATTTATTTCACATTCATCCTCCACACTCTCTTTTCCTTTTTTGGACTTTTTAATCTTTTTTACTTCTTCCTGGTTTTCCAATTTCAGATCTTTTTTCTCCTTCTTTTTATTCTTTTGTCTCTCTTCTTTTCGTTCCCTCTTATTCTTTTTTCTCTCAGTTTTTTCATCTGTAATTCCATTTTCTTCTGCCTTTGTATTTTCCCCAGTTTCTGCAGGCTGCTGTTCTTCCTTCTGTTGCGGTTTGTCTTGTTCCTTTTCATTTGAAGTCTTTTGTTGAAAGAAAGATAATTACAGTTTTCAAATGTGCTTTTTGACATTGCAACTTTCCTCTACTAGATCATTGGTAACTGTTCACAACACTGATATCCTGAAATAATTTCAATTGCTCACATATGATGTTACCAGTTACCTGAGAAGCAGCCCCAATGAACTAATGTGCCTGATGCTTTTAACTTAACAGACTAAATGCTAATGAACATCACAGGAGAAATATTATCTTACAATATATGTAATTCCTAGTTGAAGTAAGTGTCTACTGTGTTTTAAATTATTTGTTAAATGTAATTAAGGAAATGACAGCTCTTTCATTTACACAAACAAAACTACAGCACATTACAGCAAGATGCAGAACTTATTCCCAAATACACAGCCCTTGAGTAATAATCTCTTTTGCCATCCTGTCTTGGATGTGTCTGGGACAACAAACCATTATGACATGATGCTAAAAAAGGCATTCCTGCTTGAGAATTTCAATTAAGTATATACACTTCAAGGTATGTGTGGAGAGCCTAGTTCAAACATGGCTTAAAGAAAGAGGCCATGAAGGTACTCAGCTAAGGGAAAAATGAAAGGCAGCTGTAAAGCAGCAGTTCCCAGGCTTGATTCTGTAAATAATTAAGGTTCTCAGCCACCTTTTATATAAGCAACAAGATTCTCAGACCGTTTTCTCAAAAACAGGCAGATATCCTGTCCTTGGCTGCTCTGGGAACAGATGGCCGTTCTGGGAACAGATATAAAGGTTTTGAGAACTTTTCATATCATGGTGAGAACACTGATCTTGGTTTCAATAAACAAACTTCAGGTATTGTAAACAAAAGGAGGAGCTGAAGTTTTCTCTACAGCCTATCGGGAGCTCAGATTTTGCAATATGCATGAAGTGAATTAACACTGTTATAAAAAGTGCCTGGTTGATCAATAAATCGGAGTCGATGCTGACCCAACAAAGGAGGGTCGTCTCCCTTCACTTCAACAGGTATGTATTACCAATCATATCTTAAGATTTTTTAAGATTTCTTAAAGGTGAATTGAAATGCTGTGTTATATATTTTATTTTAATGCTATGCGCTATGAACAGTAATTGTTTACATTTGTGTTTAAATAAAAGGTTTTTAGATTGAAGACCTTTTATAAATTAGTGTAAGTCAAGGGAAGTTGTATAAAGTCAGTATTAATGCTCCAGCAAAATAGTGTTCAGAATTTATGCTATGTTCCATCCTTTAGTAAATGTGCTTCTTTCTTTCCTGGCTCTTACATTTGGATTCCTCAGAAAACTGCAAATAAACTTAACTGGAATCATCGAATCAAAAAATACAAAGCATCATCAACAGGGGATAATGCCAAAGCTTTGCCTACACTCTTCCTCAAAAGAATTTGGGTGAAAGGGGGGAGAGCATCTTTACATCAGCTGAGAAATGAGCTTCTCCAACAGCTTTCAAGTAGCAGCAATAGATGCAAACAAACAACACTCTACCAAAACATGCTTAACTATAATGAAATACCAAAGAATTAGGCACTAACAAAAGGTCAGTGACAAAAGAGTGAGGCCACAAGTCGGACAAAGGAACGGAAGGAACTTGCATCACAAACTGGAGGATTTCTCTCCCCACTAATGAATAGGTAAACTATGCGCTTGCAAATTTCTCACTCCAATACACATACATTTGAGACCAATAAACTCTGAAAGATGTCTTATTCCATCTTAGTGTGTGATAGAAGATTGGAACAAAGGTAAAGGCAGAGCTTTTCCCTTTTTTTATAGTAGCATAAATTAGCCTTCTGATTATCATGGCACAATCGTGTCACCACATCCAAGTTTTCAATCACAGCCTACTCACCCATGAACAACTTCAGCAACAGTTCTGTGCTCCACAAATAAACAATTTAGTCGAGAAATATTACATCATAACATAATCTCCTGGAACTATGGGAGACAATGTTTCCACTAACATATACAAAGGGAGTCTGAAAGGTTTTCCTTCAAACATTTTGGAGTGCATTCCCGTTTTATAATGTACCTCCAGTTACACTTACATTTCTGGTTGCTTCTGAGAAAACACCCCACACCTGATCTTGCAAATTGCTGTCATTAATTCTCAAACTGTTCTTGATCCAATTCTGTGCATAGAAAAAACAATACTAAGTGAAAACATCCTCCGATTTTATTTCTTCATTACAATATAACTGGTTCTTGTTTTTTATTTTTCATTTAAGAATCAAATCACTGCTTTTGTCTAAGATCTGGTTAGAGGTTACTCCTATTAAATCTCTCAAGCCTCTTTGCTAAATTATTTTGTGTAATGTCTAGGAACTGTTAGGAGGCTACACCATATATCTCAATTGCCTCCCCAAGTGGTAAATATATACAAAAGATAATCCTGAAGCTTTTTGATACAAATGGCTATGTTAAGGTCCCACCAAATCTTCTGACCGTTCCCATGAGTTAAAACATTAATGCTCTGATCTTATTGATTTGTGTACTGGACATATGGTCACACTCCTAAATGGATACCTTGGCTTATTACAAGAAAGTATAATTTAAGCAAATAGCTCAATGCAAACATTTCAAAGTTGTTTGGGTTATTGCAGGTGTTCCTGGTGAAAATGAAAATATAGCAGTAAATTATGCTGTTCATGCTATCTGCAAGAGATAACTTTTAGAAATGTGGAATTCAATATTAAATGTAATGTAAAGATTTTTGCACTGCAATTAAAACCCTAGGAAATGTGTATTAGTAAATTGAAACAATTAACTGCAAAAACTTTTGATCTTCTACTGCAATGTATCTTATCAAAAAGAGAGGCTTCTGGAAAATACTAGTTTTCCTGCTCAGAACATTAATCCTGTAGGGAAACAGTCTAACCCTCAGCTTGCTAGCAGCAATTTCACCACAGCTCTATTAAGTTCTATTTGAGTGCTTAGGAAGCAAGACTGATCTTCTCTCAGCCTCACAATCTGAGGCAAAGAACAGAGAGGGGGGGGAAAAAAAGGCCCATTTGTGAGTAATTCTTCACTTATCATAAAATTCTTTACACAGTAAATTCTCCACATCTGTAATTTACTTTAGTGAAGCATGCAGAGCAGGAGAGTGTCAGAATACTGAGTAACCCTCAAAACAGGACCTTGCCTTCAGGAAAAAAACAAAGACAAGGAAATAAGAAATCTTTAAAAGTATGTATAAGAATTTGAGTATTCAACAGAAATAGCAAATAGTAAAAAAAAAAAAAGGTATTGAAAACAGAACAAACCTACATACAGAGATTAAGTTTAAAATGCAAGCCTCTGGCTTAATACCTAATTAAACTGGCAGACCAAGAGTCATTTTAAGCAAATTTTACAAACACTGCTTATTGGAAATTCAGTTATTACACAATCTATACAAATGCCCAACTAAGCAATTTGTCCCACCTTTGTTAAAAGAGAGTGGCATTCCCTAAAAAAGTCTATTTTTGTCTTCACTGCACAGATAACTGCAAATCTCTATTAAAACATACCTGAAACTTTACTTTTTTTCTTGGAATGTTATCAAAGGCACGTATTTGCTCCAGAATGTTCCGCACTTTGGGGCTTATGTTGGGCTTCTTCATTACCTCGTGAATTTTCTGAATGAAGAAAAACAGAACTAAATCAGCAAAGCAGCATAAGAATCAAATGGTACATGTCAGGTGTGCAAGTCTGAAATACACTGGGCAGAAATCACCCAGCACCTGAAGCTGGTATAGTCTGCTCATAGGAAATGCTCAAAAAAACATGAGAAAAACACTGACCTTTGGCTCTATCATAGCTCATTAAATATGTCAAAGTTATCTATATAAACATTTATACCTATGTAGTAAGCAGAGGTAAGCAGGACTGCTCATCAGTGCTTTCTGGTAAGTTACAAACTGTAATAAAAACATTTCCAACTGAAGTAACTGTATCACAGAAGGGATTCTTGCAGCATGAAAAAGACCTGCATTAAGAAAAGCAGCTTTTTGGTTTTGGAGTTAATTATGGAGAAAAATCAGGCTTACTTTTGATGCCACAGCTGACATGCATTTCTTCTGGCAGCAGTGCCAGCTTCAACAAGCATTTATCCCTATATGACAGCTCTGGATATTGCTGTGCTGTGGGTGTCAGCATGAGAGGAGAGAGGTCAGACCAGGGCCCCTTGAACAGCACTGCTACCCGTGGGGGACAAAGGCTCTGGGCTCCCCAGTTCTTAGAGAGTGCACCACTGGACACTGCAGAGCCTTCCTGTACTTCTGAACACCTGGTGACTGAAAGGCTTGTGAATATGTTAAGACTCAGAAAAAGGTGACTGCTAATCCCTCATCCTTCAGTGTCAGAATTACTTGCTATTGAAGGAGGCTACCAATGCTCATAAGCACCAATACTCACATCACGCTGCCTTTACAAATGTCCTCAGTGTTCAATCTCAACAAGAGCACTCATCTCTGACTTTAATGGTATTCATCACATGCTTCAAGCATGCATGTAGCTGAGCACCTTCTTAGGATGTGTTCTACTTGATAGAAACAACAATTCCATGCATAAATGTGATCTAACTTACTACTAATGGGGTTTTAAATATGTGTTTGAGGTTCTTCCAAAACCTTTGAAGTAAAGCCATAAGAGGGTAGATTCTTGTGTAGGACAGAAAATATTTCTATCAATGCTGGAGCTTCTCCTGTTCAACATATTTACAAAATATCTGACAAGAGGACAGAAAATTTTCCCTATGATATGAAGCTATTTAGAATGAGAACTATGAGGATTCCAGAAAGATCTGAAGAAAATGAGTGATTAGGTAATAAAAAGGTGAAATGCCTTCAACACAAATTCACTCAAAACAAGAAGAAAGGGAAAATCTATCCTAATTTCACATCTAAAATGGCAGACTTTAGTTGACCATTGGAGCTTAGATACAGTATCTCAGGGTTAAAATAGGCAATTCCATGAAAATGCCAGCACAATGATCAGCAGCAGTGTAAAAAAAACAAACAAAAAAACCACCCAAGAGTAGGTTAACTGACCAATAATAGTTAGAAAGGAATAAAGCACACAGAAAACATAATTATGACACATGGTAAATCTATGGTTCTCTTATATCTTGAACAGCATTTCACAAGCATACAGTAGAGTAGGAGATTTTAGAAAACCAAAGATCTAATTTACACATGAAGAACAACTGAGCAGGGTAGGATTTTTGAACCTTGAACAAAGAATATGAGATGAGGAGGAGTACCTGACAGAGGTCTACAAAAGCATAAAGGGCACGAAAGGGATTGACAACTACCAATGTCTCTTTGTATGCAGTTGGGAATGTTACACTAAACCAAACCATTAAGAGATAGATTCAAAACAGAAACCACATTTCTTAACAGGATAAACACAGACCTATCAAGGAAATGCCAGAAGACAGCTGGGGATATTGGTAAAAACAGATCTCTGGCTTGAGCCAGTACAGGTTCTTTTCTATCTTTGATAATTACAGACAATAGTTACTGTAGGTGCATACAGTATAAACCATACCTGAATCCACTCCTGCTGTTTAGCATCTCCTTTGCTAGCTTTGGCTTCAAAGCCTTTCCCACCATATTTCTGGTCTTCACTTACACACTTGATGTGTTCCTTATAGTCATCACCCCTGGGTAGAAGAGATTTTTAACCACAGGTCACTGGCATGCTTCACTCCTCAAACTATGCAACACTTAACCAACCAACAAGCTAAAGTAATAGATTAATTAAATGAACAGATCATTTAAACCTTATTACTGTCAATGTTTAAATTATTAAAATGTGATGTGCTTAAAGTGTGCTTAAAGCAGAAATGCTTGCAGGACCACAGGCATTTCTGTCATGCTACAGCTTTCACTGAAAATTTCTGACTTGCATCTCTTGCATTTGTGACAAGAGTGAGCAAGTGAGTCTGCAGAGTGAGCAAGGTAATTTCCCACTCTTTACATACCAGAAATCCTTGCCACAATCCATGCAAGACAGGCACTGACAGTTTCTGCAGATGTTCACATGCTTTTCAACCTGTGCTTTCTTCACGGCTTCTCCACACGCATTGCACGTGAAAACCACCATGTTGGCGAGCGGTCAGGAGCCTCTTCCTTCCCACAGAAGAGCAACTCTAGGAATACAAGAATATTATCTTAATTCACAGCTTGAAAGAAGCACCTGGAGGGCCGAAGCGAAACACACCGTGCACCCACTGACGGCCAGGGTGAGCAGCGCGGTGCAGAACGTGCAAGAGTTCCTGCCACCCGATGCCCTCCGTGAGCGCAGGGGAGAGCAGTACCGGGAACCAGCAATCCCTGCATCCGCCACGCCAGCAGGGAACCGGTAACCCCCACACCCATCACCCGAACTCGGTAACCCCCGAACCCGGAACCGGTAACCCCCATACCCATCACCCGAACGGAGAAACCACCTGTAACTCCTGCACCGGGGACCCCCGTACCGCCCCCACGCCGATACGCGCAGGCGGCGTTCCCGGTCCCGCTCCCTTCCCCTGCGGGACCGCGCCGCTCCATCCCGCACCCCGCAGCTGCACACCGGTGTCGGCCGGGCCCCGCCGAGCGGTAACGCTGAGGGGTGACCGGGCCGCACGGCTTGGGAAGCCCGCCGTGGCCGCCAGCCGAGCTCCTGGGCGGCAGCAGCCGTGCCGTGCCATGCTGTGCCGTTCCCGTTCTCCTCCCGCTCCCATTCCTCTTCCCCCGCACCTCAGCAGCGGCCGCCGCCGCCCCGCGCGGCACGTGCCTCACCGGCCCCTCCGGCCACGCCGCCCCGCGCCTGCGCTGCCGCCGCCCCGCGCACCGGAACGGGAAGGGGAGGGAGCGGCGGCGGAAGCGGCCGATGGCGGGGATGGAGCTGGGAGGTGGTCGGAGCCGGTAAGCGCTGGGCTGGGCAGGGCTGGCTCGGCTCCTGCCCCTAAGCCGCTGTCGCACCCGTGCCGGGCCGCGCCGCGTTCTCCCCCTCCCGGGGCAGTGTGTCCGTCGGCTCCTCCCGCCGCAGCCCCGGCCCCGGCCAGAGCCGGCCCGCAGTGAGGCAAAGCCTCCGTGCGGCACCTCCAGCCTGGGCTCACCTGGGCGAGGCTGAGCCGAGCTTGGCCATACATAGCGGCCGTGCCGGGGGTTCCCGCTCGGGAGCGGCTCCCCGTGCCCGCCGGCCCCGCGGGGAGACACGCACCTGATGGATGAGAGGCGCTTCGCTGTCAAAGAAATTGCAGGGTGCCGTGGTGGGAGATGTTCCCGGGGAAAGCAAATTGATGTGCTTTCTTTATTTTAAAGCCTGGTCAAAACATGCTAAGCATTAAGAGAGAAAAAGCACAATTAAATACCACCCCCCATCCCGTCCATGTAATACCAGAAACAGGGAATCGCAGAGTAAAACAGGATAAATTTATGTGAAACCCTTTTCGTTCATGAGATTTGAGAATGGGTTGACCACTATCTGGTCATGCTTAACAGAAGGTGGTTTTCCTAATTCATTCATTAGAATAGGAAGGTTTTCGTCCGTCATTCATAGTTAGAAGACTAGAAATTCTGATTGCCCTTATAGTTGGAATTGTTATGTTTACAAGTGCACAGGGGAAGCATTACATCCTTATTAGGGAAAAAAAATAAAAGGAAATATAGAATGCAATATACATGTGTTGTGTTGGAATGCAACTTGTCTTTTCAACCTGTTAAGAGGGGATTTTTTCATTTAGTTATTACATTGTATTAAAAACACTACTATGCCAATGTGTCTAATTAATCAGATCCATGGTGGAAATGTATGTAGCTGGAACAGCAATAAATGCCTGAAATAATACTAGTACTATATTCTCCCTTTGGAGTTTAGAGGCTGAAGAAACTGAGGTTTTCCTCTACAAATGCTACTGATTTTGTACATGCAATGTGTCTTTTGCATTAGAATCTAATTATTATGGGAGTTGTCTAAATTAGGGTGCATTTTTTGTGGTTATGGAGTCCAGTTTATTGGCAGCACCATTAGATTTTTGCAGAGGCTCTTTGTGGTAAGCGAATCTCTGTTAAAGTCAGTATTTCAAATGTGTATGGCTGTGTATCTGTTGGTGAGCAATGCTGAGACTCCAGCCAGAAAAATGTCATTAGTGATCAAATTGCAGGTCTAAACTGAAGTCTGCTTCCTTTGAAAGCTAAAATAAATTGTTAAAAATGTCCTTAATATTTTAAATTAATTTTGCAATTTAATATTCACCTTAGGATTTTATTTCATTATAGGTAATTTAGGTGGTTTTCTAGCATGGACACTGTTGCTAGCCATAGCTGTCATCTTCTGCAGCAGCTACATGAACAGCGCATCCAGGGGCTTCTCTGTGACTGCATGCTGGTGGTCAAGGGTGTCTGCTTCAAAGCACACAAGAATGTGTTGGCTGCTTTCAGTCAATATTTCAGGTATGTGATAGAAAATTGTTCTCTTTAAAAAGTTAGCTAAATGCTGTTGGCTGAGGTTTTCTCTGAGAAGGGTGGTTTTTTCGGTTGGTCGCAGGAACTCTTGGGAATATAAGGAAAAAGGGGAAATTGTTTGTCCAGAGATAAAATTGTGTCAAGTATTCACAGTATGCTCTTCTTGATTTACTTGCTTATAGTGCTTCATATAATAGGTTCTGGCATGGACCTGCATTCAGTATTTCTCCAGAAAAAGATAACTGCTTACAAGGAACATAGTAGAGTATATGAATAGAGCCAAATAATGGATAGAATTGATAAAACATTATCCATTTCCAAATAATGGGACTTGTTTGATCAGTCATATTCGAAATAAAATGTGCCAATATAGGTTATTGGTGAATCTGCTTACTCAGATTCTCAGAGACAACAACTGTGTTTTACAGGTGGCCCATTGCACCACATCACTGCTTTCTTACTCTTCTGTACTGCCCTCAGTTGTGCCTCCAAATTTTGGAGGGTGCTGGCTCTCCCAGCTTAGTGTTTTATATTAGTTATGAGTAAGCTGTTAGATCTGGCAGGTTTTAGACCTTGTTCTTTGAAACATCTCTAAAGCTTGACTCCTAATTCATTTGTAAGAAACCTACTTTATTTTATGACCAGAGAAGAAAGATGAAAGGTTCCTTTTTCTCCTTTAGTGCTGTGCTGCTGCTGAAGTGCAATTATGCTCAAAGACCAAATTTTTAAAGTAGTTAAAAAGAACTAAGAGCTCAGCTCCTATTAAAATTCAATAGGATATAAGTGACTAATTAATTTAAGCTCTCAACACAGATCTGTTCATTATAGTTCTGGTTTTAATTTAGATAGGATGGTCTAGATTTATGAAGGAATTTGGATGTGGGCACTGGCTTCAGAGTATCCCCTGCATTTCTGAAGTTTCAGTGTAGATTCACATTTTGTTAAGATTTAGAGCTCATTGATATCATGCCCTCCTTTAACCAAACCCAAATCTGAGATTTAGCCCACAAAGAGGAACCATTAAGTTTGGGGCATTTTTTAGTGTAGGAAAGTAACTACATAAGAGTGACCTGACCCCATTTATATGTCATTGTTTACTGTGAGATATCAGGATTTTCATGGGTCCAGAGTTTTTTACTGAGAGAGAGTATGAGCCCACTTAATCTAGGACTGCTTGTGCATGTGAAGAACTACATCTCTGATGCTGAGATTAGTTTCCATCAAATAGTAAGAACTTTTGTGAATTTATTCATTTTAAGGATTCAGTGACAATGCAGCAGGTATTGGTTTTACTGCTGTTTTAGGATTATGTACTTGTACTTTTCATTATTCTTTTACTTGGTTCTTATCCAGTACCAGCAAAAGTATCTTTTTTGATAGGAGAAAATAAATTGAAAATAATGCCATCTTCTTGTTTAATATTGCCATCCTCTTGTGAATTTGTGGAGAAAGAACTAGTGGTAAGACCTTTGATAGGCTTACTGATGGAGTTCAACGGACAAACTCAGTTGCCAGAGGAGAAGAGTTTAGCTGACTTTGAGATCTGTCTTCTCCATTTTGCTAGAAAATTTATATCCTTTTTAATCTCCCACGATGAAAGGAGAAAAACCATTCTGAGTCAACCAGTTCTGCAAATGTCCATAAATACACCACTGCACCTCATATGTGATGAACAGTGGATAAGAAACCATAAGTACAGGGTGTTACGTGAAGACATTAAAAAATACAGAATTAAAGTTAGATAAAGGATCATTTACTTTGATTTATACTTCAAGTTCACTAATGTAGGACTAATATATAAGACAAATCATTGAGCAGTTTTGAGGAATTCATCACCAAAAACAGAGTAATCTTTAGAGTACAAACTTGTTTCATACCAAGCAGCCTATTTGAGATTTATGTATGTTTTTCTTATTGTAGTGTTTGCGAATTATTTGTGCTTGTATTTGAATATTTGCCTTATTTTATCAGGACCCTTTTCCAGAATTCTTCAGGCCAGAAGAATGATGTGTTTCATTTGGACATCAAAAACGTAGGTGGCATAGGCCAGATCCTGGACTTCATGTACACCTCCCACCTGGACCTTAGTCAGGACAATGTACAAGCTATGCTGGACATTGCACAGTGCCTCCAAGTGCAAAATGTGCTGAACATTTGCCACACCTTTCTAAAGTCTTCCACAGCTGTGGAGCAGGCAGCCAGCATGCCATGCAACAGTGTGTTTTCACTGCAGAACACTCTGGGTGCAGATACCAGCTGTGCTGGGGATGCCTATGGGACAAACCTATTGCCTGAGTGCTCAGCTGACAGACAGACTAACAAAGGCTTGGCTGAGCAGAACTCGCAGTCTGTGAATCTGCACACCCCATCAGGTGATGGACACAAACCACCACAGGATTCCTTAGATGGCAGCTGCACAGAGCTGCCATTTAAACAACCAAATTATTACTATAAACTGCGCAACTTCTACAGCAAACAGTTCTACAAACAAAACGCTTGCTCTGATCACGAGAGAGGAGCAGAACCAGCCTTTTCTTACAGCACATCCACGGAAATAAACACAGTGCAGAGTAATTCTTGCACTGTCAATCACTCTGAGTGTATTCTGGAAACCTCTGAGCATTTACCATCAAACTTCCTGGTTCAGTCTGCAAATGAAGCTGCTCCAGACCAAAATGCAGAGAGCACGGTTGTGCAGCCCACCAGACAGATGCGGCTGAAAAAGGCAGTGCACCTCAAAAAGTTAAATTTCCTAAGATCTCAGAAATCAGCAGAGCAGCCCCCTGAGCAGCCCCAAAGAGATGACAGTAGAATAACAGAAGTAATTGAACCTGTAAATGAAAGTGCCACAGACACAACAGATGTTAGAGTTACTGATGAAAAAGAAGCTGAAGATTTAATGAATTCAGAGAATTTTGAACAGACTGTTGAAATGGAAAGATCTCAAGGTCCTTTGGAACAAGAAGGACAATCACAGACTCTTCAGTCACAGAAACAATATACTTGTGAGTTATGTGGGAAGGCTTTCAAACATCCAAGCAATTTGGAGCTACATAAAAGGTCTCATACAGGTACAGTTATCAGTTACTTGGTCTGCAGACCAAATATTTCAGTTACACAGAATATCTTGCAATGTCTCTTGATTCAGAGGTGCTGGTTAAGGGTCTACTTTCAAAAGGCTGTGGTTTTATTTTGTTGTTTTGTTTTTGGTTTTTTTTAATGGATACTCTTACAGAAATAAAGAACTGTAATACCGAGTTTTGCTGGGAGTTGTAGAAAAGATTTCTATGTATTTGAGGCTTTGGGTGCTTTTTCAAAGAACATCGTGTGAATTTGATGAAAATGAAATTTCAATGAAAATTTTGTTTTTGTCCTGCATT